ATGCAGAAGCGCAGTGGGAACAGCTGCCCCGTCGGTCAGCAGTGAAGCCGGGGGCACTTTCCAGGGACGCCTCGGGACGGAGCGGAGAGGGTGGCTTTGGGGAGCAAGTTCTGTCCACACTGCACACTTACGAGTAAGAACAGTAGAGTCGTGACGCTACACATGCCGTCATCCCTCCCAGAAGCGTTTGGCCCGGTGCTTTTTAAATCATCGCTGCCGGATTTCCATGGAGAGACTTAAGTCGTTTGGTGACTGAAAAGCCCCAAGAGCATCAGAACCCAGAACCTAAGTTCTTTCTCAAAAACATGCGAGCATATTTTTCTAGTGAGGTATTTACGTTATGTACGTAATTGAAGTTTGTAGATCTGCAGATAAATCGTGCTGAAAGCAAAACAAAGATGACACCAAGATGGTTTAACACAAAACTACCCCCATTTAACTGAAAGGTCGAAAAACTCGTATATTAAATTTTTTTAATAATTTAAACTTTGATTTAGGGAATCTGTTTTCTCATTATTACACCCACACACTCACACATTTTTGTTACACAAGTAGCACAATTCTCCAGGGCTAGAATACATGCCATAAACTCATAAGAAGTTTTTTGTTTGGCTTTATTCTTTTTTTTGTAGTACTGGGGATTGAACCTGGATCCCTGCAATGAGCTACATCTCCCCCTCTCCCCTTGAGATAGGTCTTGCTAAATCACCCAGTCTAAGCTTGAACTTACTATCCTCATGTCAGCCTCACAAAATACTAGGATTACATGCCTGTGCCATGGCTTTTAGAGTTGTTTTGTTTAATGCATGTTCTCAGGCATGGTGTTGCATCTTTGTAATTCCAGTACCGAAGGAGGGTGAGACAGAAGGATTAGTAGTTCAAGTCCTGCCTGGGCGACTTGGCAAGGACCTACCTAAAAATATAAAAAATAAAAAAAGACTCAGGTTGTGGCACAGTAGAGAGCTCCTGAGTTCTATCCCAAGTAGTGACACCCTCCTACTAAACAAAACAAAGCATTTCGCACGCCTTTCCATATGTGGGAAGAGAGACCAAGAATCACTGATTAGTTTGTTTTTTTTTTTTGTACCAGGGATTGAACTTGGGTCCTTGCGCAGTACCAGGGCACCGAACCACTGAGCTAAATCCCTGCCCTACTGATTAATCTTTTAAATATTTCTCTAGCTAATTGTACTCGGCAGAGCAGTTGGCAGCTGACGGTCCATTTTAGCTACCAAAAGGAAGAGGTGGCTTCTGTTCCCAAGCTTCACTTAGAAGAATGCCAGCAAACGGCCTTCTTTGGCCCAACTTAAATTACATGTCAATCCCTGGAGACCAGGAATCAGGTCCTGTAATTGGTTCACTTTGAGCTAGGGATGTGCCTCTTGACCAAGCATGGGGCTGAGTAGGAAAGACCAGACAAAAGGACCCTTCCCTCTCTAACTACACCTCCAGAGAAGTAGAGTCAGGCCATAGGCTCATTCTTGATTTAAAGGGCAAAGGAGTAGCAGAAGTTTTCATTCTTGGATTTGGGCTATTCATATATGTTTGGGAGTAGGGGAGGGAGGAGGCCAAGAAGTCTGGATTCCTGAACAAAGGGAAGAAGGGGGAATCTGGTGTCCACTATACTAATTGTAAATTTGTTTTTGTTTTTTGGTACTGGGGATTGAACTCCGGTCCTTGCACTTGCAAGGCAGGCACTGTGTAAATATTTTAAGGAGCTTAAAATGTAACAAATGTACTAATGCTTTACTCTAATAGCAATGCTTAGGAGTGCTGTTGGCTCTGCACCCTTGTAAAGTAGGCTACTATAATAATTTTAATCTTTTTATCTGTTTGGTAGACCTGACAATAACTAAATATTTTACATCGATAGTTTACAACATAATCTTTTTGCTAATTCACAACTTGTTTAATGGCATTAAGCCTTTCTACTAATAGAGACATAATGAGAAGAAAATTGGTTTCCTGTAAATTCAGTAGCCACCTAAAATTATAGGTGTAGAAACATCAACTTCATCTCAACTGAGAACAGTATCACTTCTGTCAATCCCTTAGCAAAGCTAGATTCTTACATTCTTCATTAAAATTCCATGGAAATTTCAGTAATAAGTAAGTTTTACTCAACACAAATATTTTTTACAAAAGTTATTTTTTTAAATTCAGAAAGGCAGTTATCAATTTTCAGTCTTTGAATTCATTAACATTTATTAAGTGCTAGTTGTAGACCTGATTTTGATGCTAAGAGTTTTTTAAAAAAGGAATTTGGATGATTTACATTACAGATTAATCTCTTAAAGAGCTATCAGTGCCATATTTTGAGCATCAAATTAATTACAAATGTTAAATGAGTACCATTACAGCTTTATTCCTTTGTTTTAAAATATATTCATCTAACAAATACTGTATTTGGCGCGTAGTTCATTTTTAGACAAAGCTGTTATCAGTAGCGAGCAGGCTAGAAGGAAATACATTTGTAATCAAATGTTTTGCTGTAGCGCGTGACTTCATTTCTGGGAGTAGATATATATCATTTAAGGGTCAAAGTTGTCTCACTGGAGTTTTGTTCAGTAATCATATTCTCAAGATGAAATACAAGTTGAATTTGATAAAGTATTCCCGAACAGATGACCGTGCATTTGAACCTGTAGAAATGTAGAAACATTGTGATCTTTGTTTTATTGGTTATTCATGTTTAAATTGTACATAGGATGGATTAAAAAAGATATACAATACAATCTACAGATAATACTTTATGCTTGAGTTCACCTTCTGACCATTTATTTGGTGTTCACCTATGCAAAGCAGCTTTATAAAGCAGTCTAAAAGGGTGATAGTTAAAAGAAAGTCTTAAACTCTAACCCACAACTTGGTGCTAAGAAAATGTGTGGGAGTAAGTAAAACAAAGCAAGTTGTTTCTTTGTAGATGACCTCTTTTGAAAACTGGAAGTTACCTGGGAAACATCAGGATGAAAGTCAGTCTAAACCAAAGTTTGTGGAATTACATGACTTATACATATGTACATATGTTTCTGATTCACAGTAGGCTGCTGCTCTGAGTACCGATGGCCTACAGAGCCATGGAACATTTGCTGGGAAGCCCAGGTGCTTCCACTTAGGCTCACACTGAGTCTAGGTACACTTCTGCACTCACACGGGCTGTGCCTTTAGCCCCTGCCATCATTTGGGTGAAAGTAAACAATAAGTAGGATCTGACTGAGTTATGTCTGGAAGAGTTCTCAACTAAGTGAGACATTGTACATGAAGTGCCTGGCAAATAAAAAGAGCCCGATATTTTTTCATTTTCTCATATTTTTTTCTTTTCCCTTATTACCTTTCCCCTACCCTACCCACTTTCCCTACACCTTTAGCCCCTTTCTTCCTATTTCACATTGTCCATTATATCATTAGGATCTTATGTACTGTTATAGTTTATTCACACCAAAGCTAATAAGGGAAAAGAAAAAAATATGAGAAAATGAAAAAACTGGAAATGAAGTGTTTGTAAAGGGGGAGGGGGAGGGGTGAAGGGAGGGCAGGGACAAGGGGAAAAAATGAGAACCAAGACCTGTCATGTAGAGGTACAGGATCCCAATGATGAATGTAACTGTACTGTATACCTAAAATGTACCAATACACTAAATGGGAAAAAAAATGTTCAGGAGATGGGTAGTGATAATGACTCACAACAATATGAATGTACTTAATACTACTGAACTATATACTTAATTATGGTTAAGATGGAAAATGCTATGTTATATATATTATTGCAATAAAAAAGAGCCCAATACATGTTAGCTTTTAAAAAAATTCTGCATTTGCACTGGATGGAACTCAGAAATAGTAGTGAAAGCTGTTTCCAACTTGGGAGGCCTGTTTGCAACCATTTTATTCAAACATTGCAGGAGACAGAGTTGCACTGTGCATGGTTCCTGGGATAAGAATGAAGTTGGAGCTAACTAATTTTGCCATGTTTGTACAGTCCTGAGCTCCCTTTAAAATTAGTAGTCTTGCACCAGGGATTTAGCTCAGTGGTGCTGTTGCCTGCCTCCTAAGAGTAAGGTCCTGAGTTTGATCCCCAGCACCAGAAAAAAAATTAGTAGTCTTGGGTAGACTTCTGATAATTTTATCAGGCTTGTAAACTAAATACATATTCAACATGCTTTTTCTAGGTAGAGGGGAAAAGAAGAGGAGGGAGCAGAGAGCAAAATGAATGGATGAATGACAACTTCCAGCTGAATAAATATCTTAGGTAAATTCCTAACAGTAATAAAAGCACAGTGATTATATTCTCATAAACCAAAGGTCTGCAGGCCGTGTAGAAAACATTAGTCCTTTTCAGACACTAAAAACTAGAGAGCGTTTTTTTTCTTTCAGGGGTCACTGACCCATAAGCTAAAAACAATAAAGGGTCACAAAAGCTGTTAAGAGGTACTTAATATGGTTATTAATGCATTGTTTTAAAAAGTACCATTAAAAGTGAAACTTCTGTGACTTAAAAATTAAGAACATTGGGTAGGATTATAAGGTTATAACTCAGTGGTAGAGTATGTGCCTGGCATATGTATGGCTATGGAGCTGACCCTCAGCACCAGAAAAAAAAATTAAGAACAGGATAACTCAAAATTTTATTCAATATATGCCAATATTGGGAATGTTTTAAATTGTACTTCTGTTCTAGAATGTGAGGTAATGGAGTGGAGAAAAAGAAAGGGGAGGAGTGAGAAACACGGAAAGAGAGGGAAAGACAGATCAACAGAGAACCAAGAAAAAACATTCTTTTAAATACAGGACAGTCTTGGTGTTTTTTAAAATTTATTTTTATAATACTATAACATTTCATCTTTTTTAGGAATTATTTTCCTTGCTCTCTCTCCTTTAAAGAGTATTCATTATAACTTACATGCTCTTTTTCCCTTAAAAATCTTATTGGGTCCATCACTGTCCAACTAAATTTTCTACAATGGTGAAAATGTTTTGTATCTGTGCTGTCTTACATAGTAGCCAAATGTGATTACTGAGTACATGAAATACGCTACTGTAATACAGCAATGTAATTTTAAGATTCTGTCAAAATTAAATAATCACATGTGGCTGGCTACCTGATTGGACAGTGTAAGTGTAAGGGACATCTACAGTGGAAAAGAAACTGGTCGTAAAGCAACATGCACATGAATAAGCACAGATAAAATTCAATGAGAGTGAATTATACCCTTTCAGCCTATAGTCTCCCTTCCCTAAAGAATTTCCTTTCCTTTTCATATACACAAAGTACTCAAGAAATAGTATTACTGCTAATAATTACCAGTCATGTACTGCATAACAAGGTTTTGATCAGTGATGGCCCACTGTATGTCTGCGATCCCAGTGACTTCAGAGGCCTAGGCAGGGAAGATTGAAGGTTTAAAGCCAGCCAGAGCAATTTAGCAAGTCCCTGTCTCAAGTTAAAATAAAAAGGGGTGGGAACGTAGCTCAGTGTTCTCAGTGTTCCCTGGATTCAATCCTCAGCACCATAATAAATAATCAATAAATAAACAAAAGTGTTGAGATATTTTCGTCACTATTGATGTCACAAGCCATGTAACATTTTATGGCATTTTTCACGTGTACTTGGTGATGCCGATGTAAACAAACTTTCCTCTGTCCTATAAGAGTGTAATATATGTAGTTATGTTTAGTAAATAGCACCAGTTACTTGATACTGGTAATAAGTGAGTTACTGGTTTATGTGTTTACTTTTTTTTTTTCAGGGCTGAGGATTGAACTAAGACATATTGCCACTGAACTACATCCCCACCCCTTATTTTTTGACAAAGTCTTGCCCACGGTGGCCCTAAACTTGCTATCCTATCTTATTTAGTCTCCTGAATAGTTGAATTTTTTTTTAATCTTTGAGAGTATACTCATTATACTTATAAAAAATTTACTGAAAACAATACTGTTACTAAGGGAGCAGCTTCATACACTTTGAGTTTGCAGCCTCTTGACAGCATAATTATTTCTTGTATTTGACATAATCTCTTTTCATTATGGCTCTAGAAATAATAGGGAATACCGTACATATATTACATATACATAATACCATATACATATACGTTTACGTAGGTTTGAATAAGCACACTCTTGATGTTTGAAAAATACAATCTCTGGGTTTGGTGAAGCATGATGTACCACCAAAGGTCGTCTCAGAACACAGTGATCTTGCTTTAGGGATGTGCTCAATGTATTTGGATGAACTGTTATATCTAAGCCCCTATTATTACAAAATAAGCAAAGTGTTATATTCACTGTCCTTCAAAGACACAGGATGAAGATGAAAGTTCTTTGTGCTTCTCATGAGCACCCTATGCTCGGCCACTTGGTTGACAGTCTGTGTCTCTTAATTCTGTCTTCAGTCCTTTCATTACTGGCTATTTTCCCAGGTGATGAATCCTCTTTAAGGGGGTAGAAACAAAATCAATGACAGATGTTGGGGTAAAACTCATCCTGGTTAAGTGCACATAGTACATCTACCTCCTAGGTTTTTATTACCCTGAGCAACAAGGCTTTTATAAAGTGTTCGGTACTTCATGCTGTCACTTTTCATTAATAAGTAGCTATCAGGAGTGTGAGTACTGTACCAGTACTGCTCTGCACATTTGATTACTTCTCTCTCCAGGTGCTATCAGTTTTCTTCAGTAATAATTAGTGACTCTCCTGCTGGGGAACTGTAATGTTTTCTTTGGTTCTTGGAAGAGCTATGTTTTGGACCTCATATAATCATCGAAAATGAGATGTGGACTATGAACGAAATCACCTTTTAATCACATCAGTGGCAACTCCTGCCTTGGTTAGTCACACAGAGCTTTATCCTAGTGTGGAACGCAGTGCTTATTGCATAGCAGGTCATCCCTAAATGAATAAATGGATGAATGGAGAAAGTCACGTGTAATGGTAGGCAGCCTTCCATAAAGTGTGCACTAGGGAGTCTCAAAATACTTTTCAAACTAAGCCCTTTATCTTGACTACTTTTTGACTAAGATAAAATTTTACCCATACCTTTCAGAATGACTGAAATCAGTGCTACCCTTTACATCCAATGACCTCTACAGGAATATTTTTTTCTCTCCGCTTAAGCACGATCAATTGCCTGCTGTCGTGTCAGGGCTAAGGTTCCTGGGGCGAGGGGTTAAGAGGCGGGACTACAAGTCCACGCGGCACCCCGCAGCGTTTCTCTTCAGCTTTGGCTGCAGCCAAGACTCCAGCCCGCCCTCGCCACACGGTCTCGTCCCCTCCGTCTCAGCACCCCGGGTAGTTTAGCCCTTTCCTCAGACCCCGGCGGCGGCACAAAGGGCAGTGTGAGGCGGAAGAGCGCTGCTTCCGCGTCGGCGAGAGCCGTGAGCCGTGCTGTCGCCACGCCCTGACGTCAGGCCGACGTGCAGCGTCGTCGCCCGGGAGACCGGGAAAGCCGTTTCCTACAGGCAGAGTCCAGGTCTAGGTGAGAGATAACGGTTTTCCTCCATCCCTAGGTGACCTAGTCCACCCGGACGCAGTTCTGGAGCGGAGGCGTGAGGGTTCCTGCGAGGCTGCGGGGCCCAGCGCCGCTTGGGAGTGCAGGGCTCTGCAGTATCATCTCCACTCCCTCCTCCTACTTTCCGGCCACCGCTGGTCGCGAA